GAGTGGAAATTTAAAAGTGCACATGGTGATTCATACTAAAGAAAAACAATTTAAGTAAAATGTCAACATATGTTTGGTAACTTACCGAGAAAGATAAAGATATGTTTTTTTTTTACACATTTTATCAAGTTATTTATTTAGCAAAATCTTTTACAATAAACATTGGAGTGTTTTCATTGTTGACTTCACATGACTGTCAGATTCTGAAATTTCATCAGGCTTTGTGTGGTTTTGTTAGGCCTAGGAATGTTACGTAGAACATTAGATGAAGCACATGGAGAACTCGCTCCATGGAAAAATTGTCTTTTGTAAAATTACCCCATGGAGAACTCGCCCCATGAAAAAAATTGTCTTTTGTAAAATTACCCCATGGAGAACTAGCCCTATTATACCTGGAGACATCTCCCCAGGGTGGTTGGAGAAATTGCTCCAGGTTGAACATCCCATTTGTATCAAGAAATAATGGTCGTCCTTTAATTTAGATAAATAATTTTCATAAAATGTATGACTCCTCTGGTGGCCTAATGGTTAGAACATCCAACTTGGATGCAAAAGGTCACTAGTTTGAACAGTGGCAAGTCATACCAAAGACTAATAAAAAGATTAGTACTAACACTTGCTTTGTTAAGCGCTCAGCATTAAGAAGTTAGTGTTAGGACTGGTCAGCCTGGTTTCAGGATAATGTGTGGCTGGGTAAGAAATCATCCTACATATATCTAAGGCATTATGCACCATGTGCTAGACATTACTATAAACTGCCACACTACAGATGTTTTAACAATATTACTGAAAAATGTCTAAAGCTACTTTTAAAATCCTAAACTAGTTACACACATACACACACACACACACACACACACACAGAATGTAAAAATAATGTTCCAAATGCATGTGTAAATGTGATTCTAGACTGCTAACATCAAGACCCACCACATGACCTTCTTCATCTTATAATCCAGAAAAAAATTAATATTTATCTTCTAGGCTTATCCAGATAAATAAATTATTCTAAAGATGGAAATATTTACTTGATGACAATAGTGCACCTTAAGTCAGGTTTTTAATTTAAAAGAAGTTGTATCATGCGTATTTTATTGCCTGCTAATCAACTTGTCAATCTGCTGCCATTTATTTATGTTGAAGTTTCTAAAAATGAGTATAAAACTGACCTAGATCCTCATTTTAATTGCTAATGAAATAAGCCTAAATTAATGTATACATAAACATTACATCTTTTCAAAGACATACACATAATAGGCTCACATGCTGTGTGTCATAAAAACACAAGGGTAATATTGTGTCCAGAATTATTTTAAATAGAACATTTAAGTGTCTTCAGTGCATTTGAAAACCTAAGCATTTTAGTATTTTATTTAAATTAATTCTTTATGAAAGTCAGTTAGGGTTTCTCTGGATTTTACACCGCATTAAGCATGTGACATCGGTTTGGGTTGAGGGACTGATTCATGTTAGTGAAGTTAGTCGATGAACAGATGGTGTAAATTATTTGGCTTACCAGCAGATTTATCATTTATTTTAACCATGGTTTGTTTCTATTGAAAGACATATATGGTAGATTAATTTAGATTGTACTGACATAAGAAGCACATATTATTTCAGTGTATCACCCAAGGGTCTAAAATTGATGGTAAAAATAAAACCTTAGTTTCAGAACTGGGAGCTCAAATAAAAAATATGGTGGACAAAAATTTTACTGACTAATTTTCATCTGTCCCATACTTTTTCAACACAGAATAAGATATTGCAATTTGCACAACATCTCTCTCTCTCTCTCTCTCTCTCTCTCTCTCTCTCTCTCTCTCTCTCTCTCTCTCTCTCTCTCTCTCTCTCTCTCTCTCTCTCTCTCTCAAAATACAAATAAATCAACACACACAATTAACACAGAAATGTATTGTCCATTCAAAGGATAGTTTTATTCGTTCATTTTCCTTTTAGTTTAGCCATACATTTAACAGTCTTCTTATAATCTTTTTGTATCAATAATATAGACCAACTTATTACATATAAGCCAATACAAAAAGCCAAATATTTTCTTTTTAACCGATGGCAATTAATTTACTTTCTTTCATATAATGTATAATATCATAGATCTCATTGTACATCATCCTAAAACACATTAATCCAAGCATCTAATGATTCATCTTCTCTTTAATAAAATACACTTTAACTTTTAGATCTTTCTTTCATTGCAGCTAATTTAAAGATCAACAGAATCTGCAATTTTCCCCTGACATTGTAATCCATATAATGGAATTGTCTCTGCAAATTTTCTGATTTCTTTAATGTGAAAGAATATCTTGGGTGATAATGTGTTCTACAGGTATCTTGTGGCAAACAAGAGCCGATTGTTTTAAAAATTTTTAAACACTGTAATGAAAGGATTATTCACTTTTACAGTCTTTACAATCACACTATCAGACGTCACGCCGGTAATCTCAATGGACTTACTTTACTCCAGTCAATGGAATTATATTCTCCATTTTCATGAAAGTTAGATCCACAATTACTCTTTTGTCTTCAGTTTCTTTAACTTTCGTGGCTAATGATTCTTAGTGCACATCGTTTTAATTTGATGATCACTTTCTAGTGCAACAAGCATTTAGGTTAAACATTTTGATGATATCTTGCTGAGCTTGATGGAAATCATTTGAGATCTTATGAGATATGTAGAATCTACTCCGCCATTACATTGCCTTTGCTAGTCTGCTTTTCCATTTTGTATGCTCCATATAGCTTATTGCAATGCAGAGAGCACACAAAACAAGGAACCAGACTATGCCTTAGCTCAAAGTTTATGCGATGCCATCCCTTATCCAAAGCCTTGGATATTGAATAAATCTGATAGCATTTTGCAAATCCTTTGCACCAAAAATTACATAACAATTAAATGTGTGCCTCAGATTTCTTCATTGTGCGTCCCTGAGCACAAAATGTGTATAAAGGGAAACATTGTGATTTGATTCTGTTATAAATAATGTCTGCATATCGCCCTTGCCACAGTATTGAAACTACTCTTCTGAAAATAGTCAGTGACCTTATCTCTGCTTTGGATAATGGAAAGATTACAGTCCTCACTCTCTTTGACTTGCCTGCAGCATTTGACACTATAAACCATGATATATTGCTTCACTGTCTGCAGCATGTATTTGGCAATCACGTTCATGATACAACCTTACTATGGTTCAAGCCCTATGTGATCAACAGGACACAAATTGTGTCCGCAAATGGAAAACTCTCCAGCACAGTTGATCTATGCTGTGGTGTTCCACAGGGGTCTGTTCTAGGACCTGTTCTCTTCATCTATATACGCAGCCACTTTCATGTGTCATTGAGCATTATCCAGTGTCTCACCATTTGTATGCTGATGACATCCAAATATACAAATGTAGTCATACAACCGAAGTTGAAGCTACTATCCAAGGCATTGAGAGGTGCATTTCCGATGTGAAATCATGGATGACATGTAACAAGCTGCAGATGAATGACGATCAAGCTGAAGCCATTCTTATTACAACATAAAGACTTTGTCATGTACATCCTTTCCTCGAACAATAAATATAAGCAACACCAACATTAAATTCAAAGTCAGTACAAAACCTAGGTGTTGCTCTTGACAATATTTTCTAATTGCACCAACGTATCATGAATATATGCAGGGTTACATCTCTTGAGCTGAGATGCATCAGCTCCATTTGCAAGTATCTTTCAGCTGATGCTACTAAAACACTTGTGTATTCCTTTGTACTTTCAAGACTGGACTATTGTAACTCATTTCTGTCTGGTTCGTCTCAATATCTATTCCCAAAACATACGAAAGTTCAGAACACATCTCGTATCATCCTTAGAGTACCAGGATCAGAGCACCCTACACTGGCTATTCATATGATCCACGATTAACACAAAATATGTTCTCTGTGCTGTTTTATTGACGGGCTCCAGTATAACATTTCAATCTGACTTCACCCATGTGTACAAACCAGGAAGATACATACGTTCCTCTTCTGACATTAATAATCTCATTATTCCCACTATGAAGATGAAATCATATAGACAATGCTATTTTGCACACTAGAGCCCAAGAAGGTGTAACGAATTGCCTACTGCACTTAGACACAAAGACAGTGATCTCATTCAAGAGCGCTCTTAAAACTCACTTATTTCGATTGCAAGAACAGATTTAAAGACCTAATAATGTAACCTTACCTTAAATCTTACGTTTTGTTTTCTAATTTTGTGGTATTTGTTTGTTTTTTTTGTTTTCATGTCATTAGATATATTTTTAAGTGTTGTCAAATGTTGTAAAGCACTTACAGCTTAAGATTAGGCGCTATACAAAGTCTTCATTATTATTATTATTATTATTATTATTATTATTATTATTATTATTATTATTATTATTATTATTATTATTATTATTATTAATGGAGACCGATTACAATAACAAGGTAAATACTGACAAATGAAGGGTCTATATCTGATGGAGACAACATTTACGAGGGAAATTAGGAAACTATAGAATAGTCTGATATTTGATGTCATAAATTGCGCTGTGCATATTTTTGGACACGACACAGATCATGGTGACAGTACTAAATAGCATCAACAACAGCAAACTACACAAGTGCACAGTGGCTTGTAATAATGGTTTGAGATATGCACTACCTAAGCAAACATTTACCATTGAAAAAGAAGGGTGTTGTATTCGAATTTCAGTGTGAATGCTAGTTGCCAGATTTATAATCTCAGTTACGTACTAGGATAATTCAAGAGGTGATATTAATTGATAACCACCATTGGGTAAAATACCCAAATTAGCTTACGATTTCTCTTGAACTTTTCCATTTAATCAAATTAGTAAAGCCACATTACGATATTCTTTGAAGAGGTTCTGTTTATACCTGAACTATAACTATTCAATAGCTTTGCTGTCTGTTGGATGAGCTAGGCAGGTTCTTAATAAGCCAAAGAAGCCAAAAGCCGATCCGGTGGCCTAGTGGTTAGAGCGTCAGCCCCAGAAGCGTGCGGTCGTGGGTTCTATCCCCGGATGAGTCATACCAAAGACTTACAAAAATGGTGCCAACAACTGCTTTGTCTGGCACTCAGCATTAAGAGGTTAGTGTTAGGACTGGTCGGCCTGGTAGCAGGATAATGTGACTGGGTGGAACATCATGCTTCATGTCTGCGGCATGATGCGCCAGGGCTAGATATCACTATATACTGCCAAACTGCAGATGTCGTAGCGATATGACTGAAAAATCGTTAAAGCTACATTAAAAATCCAAATGACACAAACAGACACACACACATACAGACACACACACAAATAAGTCAAAAAATAGGTAAAAGATTCCTGTTGTCATGCTCGGTGAGGCTGCTTCACAACTGTCCTTTTAGCAAAATTTATGTTTCCTACAAAATTGTTCTTTACGCTCTTAAGTAGAAACTGTTACGTATATGTAATTAAACTGTTTGTGTGTTAGTTATATAATTCTTTTTTTTATTTTTGTTTCATTACATTTTATTGTAATGATTATTGACAGGATTCAATATTATTTTTCAGTAATTTGATATTTAATTTTACTAAATGTTATCTAAAGACGTAAAACTGTTGCATGAGAATTACTTTTGGTTAAGTAAGTTCGTCTTAGGTTGGGAATTTTGTAAAGGGGCAGTTAAAATAATTGGTCAGTATCAGATCCATTCTTTTTTTGCGTTATCACTATGTGTAAACAACGTTACTTTATTATTGGTTCTAAAGTGGAGCTACACTGGCGTACGTGATATAATACTTGTAGTAAGAGACCACATGACTCATCTCACGAGACTTGAAATGATAACTTTAGGATTTAAATACTCATCCTTAATATTCTACTATCAGTGTTCTCCGTTATTCGATAGTCACTATATTTCATTGCCAATCCTTGCAATATTTCTCTCCACCAGGTATTTTAAAAATAAGAAAAAAAGATGTTTTATTAAATTCCGAAATTGAATTGAGCATCTTGTTTAGCCCAGCACCTGATGCTCTTATTACCATATATATACTAATCATTACCATATTTATAAGGATTAAACAATAAGATCGCTACATACCTACTGGTACCTTAATTTAGTGCAATATGAGACATATTTGGGGATGGAGCCTTAGTACGGTGGTAATAGATAACATTGCTGCTTAGCAATTGATTTTGTGTACATTTAGCAAAACTTTATATAGCTAAGTAGGTTATGAATCTGCTATTAATGGGTTTTGTGATACATTGTATTATCTGTTGTTGATGTCTGGTTATATTTAATTCAGCTTTCGAATGAATGTTGATCTTCTGAAATTTAATGCATTCAGATTTGAACGAGTAAGCACTGCTGCAATAAAAAGTGAACAAAGTGATGGTATTTGCACAGACCTAAAAATTAATATGAACAAATCAAAATAAACAGGAAATAATAACCTTGCATGACAAAACCTCTTTGATCTACAGTTTGTAATGCTTACGGAAGTTCTAACCAGGATATTTTTTAAAGCCATGTATTAATAGCAATGCATGTAGCAAACATACTTATAGCCACTGCAAACTTGTGTATTATCAATTAGGGGCAAAATACAAGGCATAGATATAATGTTTTAAACTTATACTAAATACAGTACAGACTGAACAAAGCAAGAAACATAGTATGAATGAGAAGCAATTCTACTTAGATGAAGCCAGAACCAAACTGACATACAATACTGGAGGCTATTTATCATATAGCAAATACAATAGTATCTTCCTGAGTTATATATTTCTCAGTTAAACTTGAACAAGTGTACGCAGTCCTTGTTTGCGCACTTGTTGCCTATTTCACCATTTTGGTCTCTATCTTTCCTCCAAATCAAGTACTACTTACAAATTATGCTTTTGCATTGTTTTGCGGCGGCTAAATTTATTCGTACAAGCAAGATTCTTACCTTCAAAATTGGCGATACACAGTCAAAATACATATTTCCTAAATTGATGATTTCCCTTTAGATCCAAGAATCAAATACTAATAATATAGCTCAACCAAAAGACATACAACGGTCTCTGCATTTTTAATATTTCATAAATTTGTGACAACAGCAATGGGAAACACAAGACACAATCATGATGTACATGTCCAATAAAAGGAAATCAATCCATGAAGAGTCATAAGAAAGAAGAACACGAAACTACTATTTAAAATACGTACAAATTCCTAGCAGAGTTGTGCCAAAGTTGCATAATTTATCCGACAAAATGTAAGGTCAAAACGCCCTGATTACAGTGACGTTTCACACGTGTAAAACAATCGAAAAGAAACGCATGGTATGCAACATTTTTATTCAATGAACTATATCCGTCCCTTTTTCATCCTATGTAGTGTTCACAGCATAATAGAACGGCTTTGTAACTTATCGCAGATCCTTTCATACTTAGATAGAATTAAGACCTACACAATTTGAAGTTACGTGCATAAATTTCAATAAATATATTGATAGAATAAATATATTGATAGAAAAAAACAAACATTTATCAATACAATGGTCAGTCACAAAAAGAAACATTTCATTTTTGCAATTTTTCTGATATGGTAGTGGACTAACTTCGCATAATTAAATTTTGTAATCGTATATCATATTTTCAATTATTAAATCCTTGTATAATGTTGCTCTTAGTTTGGTTTTCAGATCTTGTTGATTACATTACAACGGTCAATGCATAGCTTGGGCCTTAGGTAAAACAATAAGTGTCAATCAACGACTATGGAACCCACTGATAGCTATATAATTCAGAATATGAATTATTACAACAATTATTTCATTGCCTATACACTGCTGCTATGAAAAAACAAGCATTAATAATTCACATTCAAGGGCAATACATCACTCAGAACAAAAAAGATCGACCCAGTTTGATTCAGTTTGATGTTTTGCTGCAAAGCATTGCAAGTGCATTAATTTATTACTTCGTCAACTTGGGGGAAAAGTGCCTTGCCCAGAGTGACACACCAATTTAGCCGACCCACCAAAGCTGATCTGATTCAAACATTTATAAGTCGCATTTTTAAGGGATGGGAGGTGTGACGCAGTAAATTTTCTTTCAATTGAAATTATGTGCTTTTCTAACAAAGAGACAAAAACAGACAAACAAAAAACCCACAACTTTTCGTTAGGGCATCAATCCGTGTATATGCCTCTGATTGTGATAGGGTGTTGTTATCCATATAAATGAATAACTGTGGGTTGGTTCGTTATATTTGCAGTTTATATAACCTACGGAATCCACAAAAGGTGGTACAACTAATACTATTCAGTTTAGCACAAGTTTTGTCGGCAGTATTCAAGGGAAAACTGCCAGAACCTGCGCAAAGATTTGTAGTTATAAGGCTGGGTGGGATTATTTCATGTGTTATTCTCTGATTAAGCATGACGAATTAGCGGAAATGCGTACAAGTTATTTCAATGAGCATAAAATGCACTTACCGTTACCAGGAGTTAAAGAGTTGGACAGAGCCAGAGTGAAACGAAGAATTACGCCCAGTGCAATGTATAAACTACACACGGCAAAGTCTAAAGATAATATTACGCCCAGTGCAATGTATAAACTACACACGGCAAAGTCTAAAGATAATATCACGCCCAGTGCAATGTATAAACTACACATCGCAAAGTCTAAAGATAATATTACGCCCAGTGCAATGTATAAACTACACACGGCAAAGTAAAAAAGATAATATTACGCCCAGAGCAATGTATAAACTACACACGGCAAAGTCAAAAGATAATATTACGCTCAGTGCAATGTATAAACTACACACGGCAAAGTCTAAAGATAATATTACGCCCAGTCCAATGTATAAACTACACACGGCAAAGTCTAAAGATAATATTACGCCCAGTGCAACGTATAAACTACACATGGCAGAGTCTAAAGATAATATTACGCCCAGTGCAACGTATAAACTACACACAGCAAAGTCTAAAGATAATATTACGCCCAGTGCAATGTTTAAACTACACACGGCAACGTCTAAAGATAATATTACGCCCAGTGCAATGTATAAACTACACATGGCAAAGCCTAATGATAATATTACGCCCAGTGCAATGTATAAACTACACACGGCAAAGTGTAAAGATAATATTACGCCCAGTGCAATGTTTAAACTACACACGGCAACGTCTAAAGATAATATTACGCCCAGTGCAATGTATAAACTACACATGGCAAAGTCTAAAGATAATATTACGCCCAGTGCAATGTATAAACTACACACGGCAAAGTCTAAAGATAATATTACGCCCAGTGCAATGTGTAAACTACACACGTGAAAGTCTAAAGATAATATTAAGCCCAGTGCAATGTATAAACTACACACGGCAAAGTATAAAGATCATATTACGCCCAGGGCAATGTATAAACTACACACGGCAAAGTCTAAGGATAATATTACGCCCAGTGCAATGTATAAACTACACACGGCAAAGTATAAAGATAATATTACACCCAGTGCAATGTATAAACTACACACGGCAAAGTCTAAAGATAATAGTACGCCCAGTGCAATGTATAAACTACACACGGCAAAGTCTAAAGATAATAGTACGCCCAGTGCAATGAATAAACTGCACACGGCAAAGTCTAAAGATAATATTACGCCCAGTGCAATGTATAAACTACACACGGCAAAGTCTAAAGATAATATTACGCCAAGTGCAATGTATAAACTACACACGGCAAAGTCTAAAGATCATATTACGCCCAGTGCAATGTATAAACTACAAAAGGCAAAGTCTAAAGATAATATTACGCCCAGTGAAATGTATAAACTACACACGGCAAAGTCTAAAGACAATATTACGCCCAGTGCAATGTATAAACAACACACGGCAAAGTCTAAAGATAATATTACGCCCAGTGCCATGTATGAACTACACACGGCAAAGTCTAAAGATAATATTACGCCCAGTGCAAAGTATGAACTACACTCGGCAAAGTCTAAAGATAATATTACGCCCAATGCAATGCATGAACTACACACGGCAAAGTCTAAAG